ATAATCGACCTCGTGCCACTGCGCACCGAGCACATCCACCGCAGGGACTGGAAGCACCCTGACGGAAGACCGTGGGTGCCGCACCATCCCCACCCACGCGAAACGGCGCTGCACGACCCCGACGCAGATGGCATCTGCAGAAATTGCCACACTCCGACAACGTCAACTAGCGCCGTTGCTGGCCGCGGACTGACGGCCATTGCCGAAGCAGAAGTCCACGCGCCGCCAGAAGAAGGCATGTCTCAATTAGAGCTCGAAGTCACCACGCGTGGCGTGTTCGGCACGCCTGAGCACCCTCTCATCGGTCCCCCCTCTCAACACCTCCGAGGGATGCTACGCGGAACTGGCGTCGGCACCTTTGATGCGCGTGGCGTGCCACGACCCTACACCCGCGACGACTTTCTCCATATTTACCCCCATTGGCGCGACCCCACGGCAAAACTCACCGTGGAACAGGAGGAAGAATTGGCGCGCCGCGAAGCAGAAGAGCTTCGCCAACAGAGCCTCGCCGAGGCACGCGGAACGTTCGCTTGCGCCGCATGGGGCGCCGAAGCAGAAGAAAGCGCCTCCAATGAAGGGGGGTGGGGGAGCACCAGCGGACAGGGAACGGCCGGTACCAGCGGAACATGCGCAACCGGAACAGGCGGATGGGGCGCCGCATCTGGTGACGAAACGAGCGGCTGGGGCGCCTCTGCTGGAGGCTGGGAGACTTCCCGCGATGAACAAAAGGGGGGAGAATCTGCAGTTGTTCCCCTCGGGCGTCCCCCGCGCCATATCCCACTCGCGTCACCTCCCCCTGACATTCCGCCGTATCGCGACCCCTGGGACACTATCAACTGGGGCAACGAACCATCAACTCCACGCCGCACCGTCTACGGACCTGCTCCCGAACCGCGCGAACCCACTTTCGTGCTCGGAATCATTCCCGGGACCAACACTCCACTCTCCGAGATTCGTGACAGAGAGTTTTTGGCGCTGATGCTGACCACCGCGGCAGAAGACGAAGATGCGGAGGAAGCAGCAGCAGAACCTGCTCCCGTACCTGATGAAGACCCGGAGGAAGCCCGCGCGCGCTACATGCGCACCTCCGGCTTTCGCGCCGACGATGCACTTTGGCACCAGCGCCTCGGACACCCCTCACGCACGACACTGAAGAACTGCATCGACGCCGGAGTCTTTGCCCCAGGAGCATTGCTCCGCCCCGACGGCACCGAAGTGAGAGGCGCGACACATCCGCGCAACTGCACCGTCTGCCCCGAAGCTGCACTAAGCCACCAGCCGTTCCCGCTGCTCGAGCCAGGAACGAACCGCTACCCCAAGCTGCACAAAGTATACAGTGATTTCCTCAACGTGGGACATTGCGGAGTCGACGACGAGCTGTACACACTTACCTTCATCGACGCTGGAACGCGCTACGTATGGGTCGCAAATGTGGAGACCCGCGACAGAGCTTACGAGGTGTTCCGCCTCTGGTTAGCGCACGCGCAGCGGCAATCCGGGAAGAGGCTGAAAATCTGGCAATCCGACGGCGCAGCGGAGTTTAGGAGCAATCAAATGCAGACTTACCTGGCGCAAAAGGGGATCGAGCATCACATCTCTCTCCCCTACGCACACCAGCAGCAGGGCGTAGCCGAGCGGACGAACCGCACACTGATGACAAAGGTGCGGGCGCTGATGAAGCAGTCAGAACTGCCGCCGATTTACTGGACCTACGCGATGCACCACGCCGTGCGGGTGCACAACCTGCTTTCAACCACTGCAATCACCGGGAACCTCTCCCCGCATGTCAAATGGACCGGGACCAAAGGAGATACATCCATGCTCCGCGTGTGGGGGTGCATGGTGCAGTACCGCCCGCCGACATCAACCATCGGCAAATTCGCCAGCCGTGCGCGTTGGGGAATCCACCTCGGCATCAGCCACGAGTACAAAGCGTGGATCGTGCTGGACCTTCTCAGTCAGAAAACCGCCCACGCTCGCGATGTAATCTTCTACGAGCGCCTCTTCCTCGACCAATTCCGTCACGACGAGGAAACGAACGCGAATCGCGCTTACGCGAACGACGGGCACAGCTACGCAACGCCCGAAGACGAAGCTGCTGCAGCAATACTGGAGCAGGATACAAGAGGCGAGTTCACGTGGGAGGATCGGCGCAGCAGCGACGACGACGACGACTCCTTGGGAGGAGGAATGGGCGGAACAGGCGGAAGCGGCAGAGGCACAGGATCACCGGCGCCACCTGAACCAGAGAGCGATGATGACGATGTGCAGGAAGTTACCCCGCAACAGCGTCACGACAGCACCGTCTCAGGATTGCAACTACTCGGGCTTCACACTGCAACCTCGAAAGCGCCACGTGTCATCGAGCCTCGAAACCCGCGCGAAGCAAGGAGTGGTGTGAAGCAATGGACGCAGAGATCAAAGCGCTCGAGTCCCGAGACACCTGGGTATTAGTCGATCGCGTGACAATCAAAGGCGCAAGAATCCTCTCGGGCAAGTGGGTCTTCCGCGTGAAGACCGCAGCAGACGGAACGATCGAGCGCTTCAAGGCGCGCTGGGTAGTGCGCGGCTACGACCAGAGGCACGGGATTGACTTCGACCAGACGTTTGCTCCAGTCAGCCGTCACACCTCGGTTCGAATCCTGCTCGCCATCGCAGCTGCAAGGCACCTACCTCTCCGCCAGATCGACGTCAAGAATGCGTTCCTATACGCACTAGTAGATGCAGTGATTCACGTGGAGCAGCCGCATACATACGGTGAAGGGGACTCGCGCGTGTGCCAACTGCGCAAGTCACTCTACGGGATCAAGCAGGCGCCGAGGCTGTGGCAGCAGTACCTACACAACATCCTGCTTGAAATCGGATTCAAGCAGATGCCGCACGATCCAGGGATGTACCGCCGCGATTTCCGCGGCGAATACATCCTCCTCACGGTCTACGTCGACGACTTGCTCTACACAGGCTCAAACAATGAGCTACTCGAGCAGTTCGAGAAAGCCCTAGTGGGGCGCGTCGACATCACATGCAACTATGAGGTGAAGCAGTTCTTAGGCCTCAACATCTCCTACGCGCCTGAGGCCATTCACCTCTCAGCGGCTAAGTACGCAGAGGAGTTAGGGAAGAGGTTCAACATTTCACCTGCACCTCTCTCAACTCCCTACCGAACCCCTGGACCGAACCGCAAACTTGACAACAAAGCCCTACCCCCTGCTGGAATTCAGACTTACCAGCAGCAGCTGGGATGCCTGCTCTTCGCCTCTGTCACCTGCAGGCCAGATCTCTCCTACATCGCAAGTCAGCTGGCCCAGTACTCACGCAAACCAACGGCTGAGAACCTTCTGGATCTGCAGCGCGCCATGCAGTACCTCGTCTCAACGCCCAAGATTGGACTGTGCTACTCAACTGCACCAACCCCATCCTTCAATCTCATCGGCTACGTGGATGCCGATCATGCAGCAGATCCCGACAATCGACGGTCCAGGACTGGCTTCCTGTTCCGACTCGAACCAACGGGACCAATCTCCTGGAACTCGCAGAAGCAGGAACTGGTTGCCCTGTCATCAGCCGAAGCGGAATTCATCGCAGCAACCGCAGCAGTTTGCGAAGGACTCTACTTGTAGGAACTCCTGCAGGAGGCGAAAATTCCAGTCTCGCCCACCTTTCGTCTTCACTGCGACAACCAGAGCGCGATTCGGATCGCGAACAAACCTGGTTTCGTTAACCGCACCAAGCACATTGCGCTGCGGTACTTCTTCGTGAAGGACGAAGTAGACAAGGGCAAGGTCAACTTGACCTATTGCCCGACCGGTGACATGGCAGCGGACTTCCTCACAAAGCGACTGCCACGCCAGCAGTATCAGCACTGCTCCGAACTCAGCGGCGTGGTCAAGCAGGTCAAGTCGAGCTACGGCCAGGAGTGAAGGGGGGTGTTACGAATAGTAATATTTGTTCATTACTGTGCACTCCTCACCGCAGCAAAGGAAGCATGCAGTATCGAGAATGAACACGAAGAGTCAGAGTTGACTCGAAGCGTCAGACGGTTAAGCTGCATCTGGACCGTCGGAGCAGATGGCATCGGACAGCTGCAGGCAGGATGGCTTTGGCGGGAACAGTTTCGTAACTGTACGCGCCGCACGGTTGGGAATGAATTTGAATAAGGGAATGTATCCCTTAGAGTACATGGCTAGCTAGGACGTTTCGCCTTCCCTGTACTCATATTTATACTTGCTGTATTTGCATGTTTTATTTCATCTCAAGCATTTTACATTCACTCTGCTATTGAGGTCAAGGGCCCACCAACTTCATTTTCTCTGTGCGAACCTTCCCGAGTAGATCCTGGGAACGATCAACTTCTGATCGTAGGAATATCAAGTGTTATGAGTCGTCCTAAACAGAGTGCGCGGAAGACTTCTATAAAGAGATTGTGAATACAGAATTGCGAAACAATGAAGAAAGTGAGAATATATAGGGCGAAAACCTCGTGCTAGGCGAGAACCTCGTGATGTGCGAGGTTTGGTAATGTCGCGGTTGGTGTGGGGCGATTCGGAACTGGTTCGGTGCAAAAGTGTAGGCCAAGCCACACTAACGCGAAGTGCTCGGGGCTGTCTTCGCTAGGAGTAGACCTACACTAATGAATTGTATATTCATTACACCCAACATTCTAGTAACCTTTCCGAAACAACAACCAACGATGACGTGTCGAAGTACTGGCCACGAAACGCATCAATCCCATGGCTCAACATATATCGCCAGAATTTCACATTTCGCATCCATCGGTTGGACATCTACTCGCTGATTTCTATACTCTCTCACCCGCACCAACTGCTGCCTGGGAAGAAAAAGCGAGGCTCGTCCTGCACTCACGTGTTGCACTGCACGCTGTTGTAGCGTACTCAGGGAAATGTACGTGGTACTGTCAGAACAGGGGAACGGGTTCGGGTTCGGGTTTTGACGCATGGACAACGTTCTGTCACTAGTGAGAATTCTCAAAAGTGTCCACAATGCGTCCTCGTGCGCCCCCTTCTTCCCCCCCCCCCTCCCCGCCCTCGCACTTCAGCACACCTTTCGCGCCTTCGTCTCTTGCTTCCACTCCCGTTCCGTTCACCCTCGTTCCTTGCCCTTCCTACCCCCCTCACCCCGTGCTCCCCCCTCACCCCGTGCTCCCCCCTCACCGTTACCCCCTCACCGTCTTCCCCCGCGCCATTCCATCCCGCCCCTCCGCCTCCCCCTGCGCCCGCCGTCCCGCCGTGCCTCCGCGCAGCCAGCGGCGAGTGCGCGCCATGGCGGGGGCCGCCGGGGCGGTCGAGAGCGCGGCGGCAGCAGCGCTGCGCGCGGTGCTGCGGCGAGTGGCGCAGGCAGCGGAGCGGGCGGGCAGGAACGCCGGGCAGGTGTGAATTGCGGGTGGTGCGATACGTGGGTAGTGCGGAAGGGGTTATTCAGCGATCCATGTGCAGAGGCAACAGCAGCAGCCCTGCAGGTGCTGCAGCGAGTGGCGCAAGCAGCGGAGCGGGCGGGCAGGAACGCCGCACAGGTGTGAATTGCGGGTGGTGCGAAAGGGTTTGCTGTGCATGTGCAGCGGCAGCATCTGCATTCCTGTAGGTGCTGCAGCGAGTGGCGCAGGCAGCGGAACGCTGGGCAGGTGTGACGGTAGGGGAGGGCGTGGTGTGGTAGTAGGGGATGGTACGGCAGGGATTGGTAGGGAAAGGGGTGATCTCTGCACAAATATTCTTTGCCTGTTTTCCTTTGGTTCAGGTGGCTGTTTTTGGGAAAAAAACAAACAAACAAACTTACTAGCTTCAGTATTGCTTTGCTAATCAAATCTTGTTCCCTTCCCTGCATCCCGCTGTCCGTCTCTCAGGTTCGGGTGGTGGCTGTGAGCAAGACCAAGCCTGTGACGCTGCTTCGGGAGGTGTACGATGCAGGGCAGAGGCACTTTGGGGAGAACTACGTGCAGGAGATCATTGAGAAGGCGCCTCAGGTGGGCCTCAGCTCAGGTGCCCCCCCCCCAGGTTGCTTGCTGTTGGGGAGAACTATGTGCAGGTGGGCCTCATGTGCGCCTCAGGTGCGCCTCAGGTGGGGCTCAGGTGAGTCCCAGGTGCCTCATTCTTGATCAGAAACCCTTACGAGCGCATGAGTCGGCAGGGTCATGTACACATCAACATGAGCATCCACATTCTGATTCTCATCCAAGGCTAGGTATGTGGTCTCTACTACCTATGCCGTTTCGACTGTCATGTGCTACTGTCTGTGTGTGTTTGTCACGCACACATGCGCGCGCATGTGTGTGTGTGTGTGTGTGTGTGTGTGTGTGTGTGTGTGTGCGTGCGTGCGTGTGTGTGTGTGTGTGCGTGCGTGTGTGTGTGCGTGTGTGTGTGTGTGTGTGTGCGTGTGTGTGTGTGTGCGTGTGTGTGTGTGTGTGTGCGTGTGTGTGTGTGTGCGTGTGTGTGTGTGTGTGTGTGCGTGCGTGCGTGTGTGTGTGTGTGTGTGTGTGTGTGTGTTGTGCGTGTGGCACACTTGCCTGCCTGTGCGTGCATCCCCAACAGCTCCCATCAGACACCAAGTGGCATTTCATTGGACATCTTCAGAGCAACAAGGCCAAGAGCCTCGTGTGTGAGTCACACACACACTGCCACACAGTCACACAATCACACAGTCACATAGTCACACTGTCACACAATTGCACAGTCACATAGTCATACTGTCAGACAATCTGCTCGTGCTTCCTTGAATATGCGGTATGGTTGTTGGCTCACAACATGGTGCGTCTCATTTCAACACCCCCCTCGACTCTTCCCCCTCGTTCACTGCTTTTCTCCCCTCTCAGTCCAATACAATATTGCTGTCCCACTTCTGCTGCCACTCCCTCTCCCACTCCCTCTCCCACTCCCTCTCCCACTCCATCTCCCCCTCCATCTCCCCCTCCATCTCCCACTCCCTCTCCCACTCCCTCTCCACTCCCTCTCCCACTCCCTCTCCACTCCCTCTCCCACTCCCTCTCCACTCCCTCTCCCACTCCCTCTCCACTCCCTCTCCCACTCCCTCTCCCCCTACCCCATCTGCCCCTACCCCATCTGCCCCTACCCCCTCTGCCCCAACCCCATCTGCCCCTACCCCCATCTGCCCCAACCCCTCTGCCCCTACCCCATCTGCCCCTACCCCATCTGCCCCTACCCCATCTGCCCCTACCCCATCTGCCCCTACCCCATCTGCCCCTACCCCATCTGCCCCTACCCCATCTGCCCCTACCCCATCTGCCCCTATCCCATCTGCCCCTACCCCATCTCCCCCTACCCCATCTCCCCCTACCCCATCTCCCCCTACCCCATCCCCCATCCCCCTACCCCCCATCTGCCCCTACCCCATCTCCCCCTACCCCATCTGCCCCTACCCCATCTGCCCCTACCCCATCTCCCCCTACCCCATCTCCCCCTACCCCATCTCCCCCTACCCCATCTGCCCCTACCCCATCTCCCCCTACCCCATCTGCCCCTACCCCATCTGCCCCTACCCCATCTGCCCCTACCCCATCTGCCCCTACCCCATCTGCCCCTACCCCATCTGCCCCTATCCCATCTGCCCCTACCCCATCTCCCCCTACCCCAACTCCCCCTACCCCATCTCCCCCTACCCCATCTCCCCCTACCCCATCTGCCCCTACCCCATCTCCCCCTACCCCATCTGCCCCTACCCCATCTGCCCCTACCCCATCTCCCCCTACCCCATCTCCCCCTACCCCATCTCCCCCTACCCCATCTGCCCCTACCCCATCTCCCCTACCCCATCTGCCCCTACCCCATCTGCCCCTACCCCATCTGCCCCTACCCCATCTGCCCCTACCCCATCTCCCCCTACCCCATCTCCCCCTACCCCATCTGCCCCTACCCCATCTCCCCCTACCCCATCTGCCCCTACCCCATCTGCCCCTACCCCATCTGCGCATCTCCTGGCTTCCAACTCTGTTTGCACGACGACACCACCACCGCATCACCACATGTTGCTGCTCTCGCCAGCAGGAGTGCCCAACCTCTTCATGGTCGAAACATTGGACAGCAGCCGGGTACGTGCTCGCTTGTGGGTATATGGGGGTGCACGTGTGTGCACGTGTGTGCATGTCTGTGTGTGTGCACGTGTGTGCATGTCTGTGTGTGTGCATGTGTGTGCATGTGATTCCCTTTTGCCTTCTGTGCTGATTGGGATAGTTGACGGCGATCTGGGTTCCCTGCCTATTCCTTCTGAGGCGCCTCAGAAGCCTTTGCCTTCTGTGCTGATCGGGATAGTTGGCGATCTGGGTTCCCTTCCCTGCCTATTCCTTCTCTTTCCCCCACCCCTCTCCCCCCACCGCAGATGGCTAACTATCTAACAAGGCTGTGGCAGCAGCAGGGAGGCCTCCCTTGCGTGTGCTGGCTGGTGCAAGTCAATTCTGAGTCAACTCAATTTACAACCCCCCCCCCCCACCCACACACCCCCCACTTCCCCCGCAGATCGCCAACTATCTCAACAGGGCCGTGGCAGCAGCGGGGCGGCCTCCCTTGCGTGTGCTGGTGCAGGTCAACACGAGCGGCGAGGAGAGTGAGTGAAGAGGGGGGGGGTGAGAGGAAGGGGGAATATGGGGCACGTGCGTTCCTTGCGTGTGCTGGTGCAAGTCAACACGAGTGACGTGGCGAGGAGAGTGAGTGGAAGGGGGGAATAGAAAAATGGGGAATGTGTGTTTTCTTTCTCGGAGAGTGCTGGTGCAAGTCAACACGAGTGGAGAGGAGAATGAGCACTGGGGAAAGGTATGGGCATGAATAGAAGGCAAGGAGAGTTAGCGAGGGGGCGGAGAGGGAACGAGCGGGGAGAATCACGGGTATTTGTGTTTTTTCAGCTTTTGGAAGTGCTCTGTTGCAAGTCAACATGAACGGAGCACCTGCCTTGGTGTTCCAAGACCTCCTTCTCATCCATTGGCGTGTGTGGAGTGGACCTGGTATGACATGTCACATCATGTGTGTGGACATGTGTGGAGTGATCCTGGTACGACATGTCACATCATGTGTGTGGACATGTGGGGAGTGGACCTGGTACGACATGTCACCTCATGTGTGTGGACATGTGTGGAGTGGACCTGGTACGACATGTCACCTCATGTGTGTGGACATGTGTGGAGTGGACCTGGTACGACATGTCACCTCATGTGTGTGGACATGTGTGGAGTGGACCTGGTACGACATGTCACATCATGTGTGTGGACATGTGTGGAGTGGACCTGGTACGACATGTCACATCATGTGTGTGGACATGTGTGGAGTGGACCTGGTACGACATGTCACATCATGTGTGTGGACATGTGTGGAGTGGACCTGGTACGACATGTCACATCATGTGTGTGGACATGTGTGGAGTGGACCTGGTACGACATGTCACATCATGTGTGTGGACATGTGTGGAGTGGACCTGGTACGACATGTCACATCATGTGTGTGGACATGTGTGGAGTGGACCTGGTACGACATGTCACCTCATGTGTGTGGACATGTGTGGAGTGGACCTGGTACGACATGTCACCTCATTGTGCCCCAAAAATCTTTTCCTCGTCACCATCTTCCCACCTTACCCCCTTTCCCCCTTAACCCCCTTTCTACCAGGCAAGCACGGGGTGTATCCATCAGCGTATGTGAACCTGGTACGGCATGTCATAACGAAGTGTCCCAACCCAACCCCTTTCCCCCCTCACCCTCTTCCCCCTTAACCCCATTTCCATCCCACCAGGAAAGCAAGGCATGCATCCATCAGCGTGTGTGGACCTGGTACAGCACGTCACGTCGGAGCGTCCCAACCCCTTTCCCTCCTTCCCTCTTTTCCTTTACCTCCTTTCCCCAGTATCCTCTTCCCACCTACCTACCTACCTCCTTTCCATCCGGCAAGCAAGGCATGCATCCATCAGCGTGTGTGGACCTGGTACGGCACGTCACATCAACCCCTTTACTTTCCCACGTGCCCCTCTTGCGGTGTGTTGCTGCAGGCAAGCATGGCATGCATCCATCACCCTGTGTGGAGCTGATGCGGCACGTCTAACCCCTTACCCCGCGCCCCTCTTGCGTGTGTGCTGCTGCAGGCAAGCACGGCGTGCACCCATCAGCGTGTGTCGACTTGGTGCGGCACGTCACATCGGAGTGTCCCAACCTCACATTCTCAGGCCTCATGACCATCGCCATGCCCGACTGCTCCTCCCTCTGTTGTTGCAGGCAAGCACAGGGTGCATCCATCACCCTGTGTGGAGCTGTCTTTTGAGGCGCCTCAAAAGACACCTCAAGCACGGGGTACATCCATCACCCTGTGTGGACCTGGTGCGGCACGTCTAACCCCTTACCCCGCGCCACTCTTGCGTGTGTGTTGCTGCAGGCAAGCATGGCGTGCACCCATCAGCGTGTGTCGACCTGGTGCGGCACGTCACATCCGAGTGTTTCAACCCCTTTTCTTTCCCCCGTGCCACTCTTGCGTGTGTGTTGCTGCAGGCAAGCACGGGGTGCATCCATCAGCGTGTGTGGACCTGGTCCGGCACGTCACATCCGAGTGTCCCAACCTCTGCTTCGCAGGCCTCATGACCATCGGCATGCCCGACTACTCCTCCCGCCCCGAAAACTTTGAGGTGTGAGCGCTCCTCCTACCCTCCTCTTACCCTCCTCTTACCCTCCTCCTACCCTCCTCTTACCCTCCTCTTACCCTCCTCCTACCCTCCTCTTACCCTCCTCTTACCCTCCTCTTACCCTCCTCCTACCCTCCTCCTACCCTCCTCTTACCCTCCTCTTACCCTCCTCCTACCCTCCTCTTACCCTCCTCTTACCCTCCTCTTACCCTCCTCCTACCCTCCTCCTACCCTCCTCTTACCCTCCTACCCTCCTCCTACCCTCCTCTTACCCTCCTCTTGCCATCAGCATGCCCATCCGCATGACATTCGGCATGCCCGACTACTCCTCCCGCCCCGAAAACTTTGAGGTGCAACTCCCTTGCCCTTCCACTCCTTTCCTCTCCGTCCCCGCATTCTCTTGCTCCTCCCCACCCCGAAAAGAATTTGAGGTCTATTGTTTGTTCATTGCCTGCTCCCGCCGTTCCTTGCTCCTCCCGGCACCATCGAATGTGTGAATTTCGAGCCTTTATCCCATCGTGGTTCTTACCGCTTTTAAAGTTGCTTGATTTGCAGAGAGTCGCTTTCTGCCCTTCACCACTTCACTATCCCTCTGTTGCATGTTCCCTCATCCACCAATAGGCGCTTGCCAGGTGTCGAGCGGAGGTGTGTGAGCAGCTAGGGCTCACCCCAAGCGAGTTGGAGCTATCAATGGGCATGTCTAACGACTTTGAGCAGGCGGTGAGTTGAGCAGGCTGTGAGTTGAGGATTGAGGGCGTATCCAAGCAAGGACCCATCAATACAAGTGAATTGAGTTGGAGCTATCGATGGGCATGTCTAACCACTTTGAGCAGGCGGTGAGTTGAGCAGGCGGTGAGTTGAGCAGGCGGTGAGTTGAGCAGGCGGTGAGTTGAGCAGGCGGTGAGTTGAGCAGGCGGTGAGTTGAGCAGGCGGTGAGTTGAGCAGGCGGTGAGTTGAGCAGGCGGTGAGTTGAGCAGGCGGTGAGTTGAGCACGCGGTGAGCTGAGCAGGCGGTGAGTTGAGCAGGCGGTGAGTTGAGCAGGCGGTGAGTTGAGCAGGCGGTGAGTTGAGCAGGCGGTGAGTTGAGCAGGCGGTGAGTTGAGCAGGCGGTGAGTTGAGCAGGCGGTGAGTTGAGCAGGCGGTGAGTTGAGCAGGCGGTGAGTTGAGCAGGCGGTGAGTTGAGCAGGCGGTGAGTTGAGCAGGCGGTGAGTTGAGCAGGCGGTGAGTTGAGCAGGCGGTGAGTTGAGCAGGCGGTGAGTTGAGCAGGCGGTGAGTTGAGCAGGCGGTGAGTTGAGCAGGCGGTGAGTTGAGCAGGCGGTGAGTTGAGCAGGCGGTGAGTTGAGCAGGCGGTGAGTTGAGCAGGCGGTGAGTTGAGCAGGCGGTGAGTTGAGCAGGCGGTGAGTTGAGCAGGCGGTGAGTTGAGCAGGCGGTGAGTTGAGCAGGCGGTGAGTTGAGCAGGCGGTGAGTTGAGCAGGCGGTGAGTTGAGCAGGCGGTGAGTAATGCTGCTGGCATGCTGGTGGCATGCTGGTGGCATGCTGGTGGCATGTGTTGGAGCTATCCATGGGCATGGCAAACGACTTTGAGCAGGCGGTGGGTGGATGGTTGAGGCTGACAGCCTCTTTTCAAGCTTGGAAAGTGCGAGTGTAAGCCGCTCGCTCAGTGTGTCACCCTGGCTGAGTTGGAACAAGAGCGGCTCGCATTGAGGCTGCAACTGAACAAAGGCATGTCTGTCAGGATTGAACAAGAGTGCCTTGCATGGAGTTATGCATGGGCATGTTGAATGACTTTGAGCAGGCGGTGACTTGAGCATGGAGCTATCCATGGGCATGATGGATATGGGTTTAAGGTTTTGTATCTGACCTTCTTTCCCATGTGCCCCATGCCTGGCAGGTGGAGATGGGTAGCACCAACGTGCGAGTGGGGTCCACCATACATGCCATACCCGTCCTTTTAGGAACCATACCTTACACCCAACCCTCTCTCACACATGTGCCCTATGCATTGCAGGTGGAGATGGGCAGCACGAACGTGCGAGTGGGGTCCACCATATTCGGCGCACGCGACTACTCCAAGTCATGACCTCGCCCTGCACTACTGAACGCTCGAAACCACTCCAAACCACTCCCAAGTCGTGAACGGGACCCCTCAAGTTCTAATTGCAGAGCATAGGACTGCAGAACCCAATGGCAATCAGTTGGGTGTCATTCCTCTAAGAAGTGTTGGATGGATTTCACGGGCCCAAATCAAGTTGAAAACACCAAGGATGGTGGTGGGGACGTTGGAGATGAGGTCATGAGAGGGAGATGCAACAGGCACGTGAGGCTCATAATTTATGGATCTTTCATTGGGACTGAGACTGGATGTGGTGGTACAGGAATGCATGCTACATGATGCATTACATGATCGGGTGGGTGTTCCCCATAAGTAAACTTCAGTACAGAAAATGAAAAGTCGACTGGATCAGGTAGTTGATGTGGAAATAAATCGCTGATTAGATATGATGTAATGTTATCATTAGTGATATGAGCCACTGTACGATTTCATCTTCGTCCGCACCCTCTAGCGGTGAACAGAGAGGAGAAATTGGCAGAGTCGATAAACACGCACGATCTGGGAATCTGGAACTCTGCCGTACGGAGCGCGACCGTATGAGAGGCAAGGGTTGTGATGTGACGGCTGGTGCGTGAGTCAGCGACGAAAGTGGGCACCGAATCCATGCTGTTCTTGGTGCAAATGGTTTTAGATCTGTTATATGGGAGTGATAGTTGGGTTTGGCGGTGGTTGGGTGTGCCTGCCGATCTGACAAACTTGCACCACAGAAATATTCCTCCTATTCCTTCAGTGATCCATCAAAGTCGAATCGCACATACAGTGTGCAGCATTTCGATTTGCCATTAGCGAACAATCTCATTCAGATTCGTAAACCTCTGTAACGAACCGTGCGCAGAAACGGCAACCTGAAGGCGATATCATTGTTTTCGTACAGGATTCGCATAAATCTCTGTAACCAGTGAGTGGCACCCCCAACGAAAAGAGATTCGAACCATTCGTCTTTTCACGGTTCGTAAGTCCGAAGCGCGCAATTCAAAATGTGAGAACCATAAATTCACCCACTGTGATTCACACCATATCTCACTCAATTCCTTCTCGTCACCCAACGAGCTCCGATCAAACCCAGAATCCCCCTTGCTAGTCTCTTCTCGGCACCATGGCCCGCTCCCTTCACACCCTCGCAGTGGTTCTCCTGATCGTAGCGTTCTCGTCGAATGCTTTCGCTAGCTTTATGGGCGGAGCATCGACCTTCGCTGGGGTAAGCCTACTTAAAACCGGTCCTTTCCCCCTCACATTGCACACCGCCTCGCTCAGCCAGCACCGATTCCGTCTCGTGAGTGCATACCGGCGAATGCGGCACACGACCACATCCTCCTCTGACCCCTCTCTTGTTCGCGTTTTCGTATAATTCTCTTCTTACAGGCCGGCAAGGGACTGACCGATGCGTACAACAAAGGCAAGAAGCCCGCGCAGCAGCTCGTTCCGTACGAGCCGGTGGGATCCGGCGCCGGAATCACCGGCTTCAACGGCGGAACCTACCAGATCGCCATTTCCGACGACCCCATGACCTCCACGCAGGAGGCTAGCGCTCCCCCGAAGATCACCGTGCCGCTCTGCGTGTCCACCTTCAGCTTCTTCGTGAACGGCGCCAAGGGCGTCGTGCTGACGGCGGCGCAGACGTATTCGATCTACAAGGGTGATATCACCGCCTGGTCCGCCGTGCCCGGCGCTAAGGGCAAGGTCGACGGCGATTGTGAAGACTCTGTGGAGCAAGGCTCTCGGCGCCACGTACACCGAGAACACGGACGGCACTGCGATGACCTATGCCGGCCTCACTAAGGCGGACGGCACTAGCGGCATGTGCACTGCGATCGCCTCCACCAAGGGCGCCATTGGCTACGCGTTCACCGGCGCGTGTGCCGCGAAGTTCGTCGCATCTCTGAAGAACGCCAACGGAGTGGCCGTCGCCCCTCCTGCCTGGAATCCCGCCCTGGCCATCCCCGCCGCCCCTCCCGCCGCACCCGACGCGTCGTGGGCGAGCGTTGACTTCGTGTGGAAGGCCGGCGCCAAGACCCCTCCGATGGTGTCCATGGAGTTTGCCTTCATCAAGAAGACGCCCACGAGTCCGGTCGCAAAGACCTTCATGTTGTATATGATTAAGTCTCTGGCGGCCAAGGGTGGGTACGGGTTCAACCCCACTCCCAAGGCCTGGCTCGTTCCTTCCGCGACCATGGTGAATGCGATCAAGTAAAATTTCCTTGCTAGCTATATGAAGCTGTTGCATCGTTGGGCATGCATTATCAGCGGTTTTGTTATTTCAGAGGCGTCATGTTTTGTCAACTATTTTGAGAGGAAATGGCTCCTGGTCATGAGTAGCTAGGCATGACAGATGCATAGTGGAGCATGCGGGTTGGCAGATGCATAGTCGAGCAATTCCATTGAGACGCCTCAAAACACTTCTTACACGTAGCTAGACATGACGGATGCATAGTCGAGCATTGGTGATCAGCGGTTCTACTTAAGGCATCTCTGAGCCGTCAAGTGATATCCTTGTTTATGTGGTTCAACAATAGTATTCCATGTCTGTTGTGATGGCGAGCCACAGCTAAAAGGTCTATACAGCCACAGCCAGAGTTGACATGCAGATACCGGTAATAGAATCGGACCAAACGTACTCACACAAGTTTTTATCCGTGGGACCAAATACAAGGGGTAGGCATATATTTGGGTCAGTTTTATGACAGGTTTTGATGGGTATGACTCGATCCAGGCACAGTCATGGCATGGGGAGGTGGAGCGTGGGGTTGGAGAGGGCGAGCAGGGAGGAAGCGAGCGCCACCACTTGCACTGAGGGGTTCAGCGTGGCATGCCTCATGGCTGTTGCTGCCGCCCACACCTGCTGCTCGTGCCTGCTGGGGCGGATGACATGAGACAGAAAGGAAGGGAGTACAAGCAACAGTGTGGGATGCCTTATGGCCGCTGCTGCTGCTGCTGCCCACACCTGGTGCTCGTGCCTGGTGGGGCGGGATAGGAAGGGAGAGATGATACGTCGTTGTCATGAGACATACACACAGGGATAAGGCATAGACATACACACAGGGATAAGGCATAGACATATACACAGGCATAGACATACACACAGGGATAAGGCATAGACATACATACAGGGATAAGGCATAGACACACACAGGGATAAGGCATAGACATATACACAGGGATAAGGCATAGTCATACACACAGGGATAAGGCATAGACATAGACACAGGGATAAGGCATAGACATACATACAGGGATAAGGCATGGACACACACACAGGGTTAAGGCATAGACATAGACACAGGGATAAGGCATAGACATACATACAGGGATAAGGCATAGACACACACACAGGGATAAGGCATAGAGATACACACAGGGATAAGGCATAGACATATACACAGGGATAAGGCACGGGAGAGGATAGATACTGAGACTGATGTAGAATCATAGTCACCTCGTTAGACATACACACAGGGATAAGGCACGTGAGAAGATACAGAGACCGAGGCAGGATGGAATCTATTATAGGTGTCGCATGGCTGTTGTTTCTCTGCTGCTTCTGCTGCCCCTGCTGCTGCTGCCCCTGCTGCTGCTGCTGCCCCTGCTGCTGCTGCTGCCCCTGCTGCTGATGACACCTGTTTCCGTGACTGCTACAGGAATGGCAACAGACACAGGGGCATGGGAGCTAAGGAACAGGGGACGGCACAGCCACCTGGTGGACGGCACAGCCACCTGGTGGACGGCACAGCCACCTGGTGGACGGCACGGCACAGCCACCTGGAAAGGGTGAGCGCATGGAGTTCAGCGCACACATCGCAAGTGAGCTATAGGTGGGTGCACCCAGGGCTATAGCCACGGAGTGACCTTTGAGGCAGTTTCCCCATCCTCCCCGCTCACCGCTTATCGCAGCGCAGCACAGCGACGGAGTGGGCCCACAGAGGTCGCAATGGAGCAGGGAGTCCCGTGGCAATCACTCTAACGCCTCCCTCTCAGACCTCCCCTCCAGGCCCACCGCTTGTGGAAGCACAGCACAGCCACCGGGTGACCTTTGAATCGTTCACGAGGCAAAAGTCATCACTGCTCACCGCTTGGCGCAGCGCAGCACAGCGAAGGCGCACCACCGCTCACCGTTTATCGCAGCGCAGCACAGCGACGGAGTGGGGTCCACAGGGGGCGCAGGAGAGCAGCAGCAGAGACGCCTGGATGCTGCCTGCCCCAACCGACCCAAACAGAGCCACCAGCGAGTCTCCCAGCAGCCGCTCCAACACCTCCCTCTGCACTCCCCTCTGCTCGCCCCTCTGCTCGCCCCTCTGCTCGCCTTGCTGCTCGCCTCCCTGCACGCCTTTCTGCTGCCCCTTTTGCTCCCCTTTCCCCTGCTGCTGTTGGCGGCTCACATTTACAGATCTGAGGCAGAACGAAAACAAATAAGAAAACGCGTGCAAATGATTATCGAGACGCCTCAGAAAGCGGTTCACGTTCGCAGAGCCGCTGAGGCAGTACACAAAGAGTTTTGAGTCGTTTCCATCGCTCATCCTCTCTCCCCTCTCTCCCCTCTCTCCCCTCTCTCCCCTCTCTCCCTCTCAACCCACTTACAGCCCCTCGCTCCTTTCCCTCTGCAGCTATCTCCCCGTCACTCCCTCTCCCTCTCTCCCTCTCGCTTCACTCCTTCCCCTCTCCCCTTCCCTCCCTCTCGCCCTCTCCCCTTCACTCCACTCATATGGTAACCCGCAGGTAAACAAGCCCTCTCGCTCACATGGTAATGCGCAGGTAGCTATGGGCCGATGGCAGGCTGTACGTCGTCTGCTGGACCGCCCTCGTTTCCATGCCCCCTGATGCACCGTCCCCTGATGTCCCTCCTCTGATGCACAGTCCCCGGATACACCGTCCCCGGATACACCGTCCCCGGATACACCGTCCCCGGATACACCGTCCCCGGATGCACCTACACTCTCTACTTCGAACTTGATTCCACCTCACAACCCCCCCTCCTCCTCCCTAGCCCCCTTTCCGCTTCGCTGACCTTTTATCTCTTCCCTTCACTTCCCTCTTCTTCTTTTTTCTTCGTAACCTAAACATAAGCTGATTAAGCAAACCTAATCTGAAGACAACGCTTGCAACCTCCTCCTCGGCACTTCTCTCCGCGGGCCTTTTTCTGAGAATTCTCAAAAATCGCTCATAAGCTAACTAAGCTAGTAACCTAATCTGAATTCAGACAACGCTTGCAACCTCCTCCTCGGCAGTTCTCTCCCCGGGCCTACATGATATCCTTGAAATCAGAAGCGCGCGCTCGCCACATGCTCTTCGAACCTATACAAAACCGGGTTGAATTCCTGAATTCATGTCCGTTGGACAACGGCCTGGTGAATTCGGTATGGGGCAGTCGAAAGGGTCGTCTCGTCGCACTCAGGTTCGAGGATCTTTAGCACGAAGCCTGTGTCGCAAGCCTCGCCGTTGACGCAGAGTTATCACAGTGTCGATAAACCATCTAGCCGTTGTGACGTGGAAAGTATATGACAGGGTGAGATAGACTGCCGAGGACTGTCGTAGTCTATGCTAAAATGGCCTGAATCCACTATTTTCTTGTGCGGTTTCTGGTTCAACGAGCGCACGACAATTTGCGAAGTTGGTTGACTGCGTCGATGGTAAGGCCGCAGCCTTTCGCCAGTCACCTCGCACACGCAAATCTACGTCAGCGAAGATTGGTCAACGAACCAATCTGACTAGTCCGTTTCGCTTGTGTCATTGGGGTTTGTGCGAATCCAAACTTCCTCACGACAATCGTCCGTTACGAGTCAGATTTCGTGAGAGGTCGCTGACAATTTGTCTCTCAGGGCGTTTCACCTTGGGGCTGGAAGGCTGAACTCCGAACATACACCTGATGCTCGTTAGAGCCCCTCCCGGTTGCCTTGTGAAGGGGGTCTGTAAGCTAAAAATTCATTTCGCGTAAGTTCGTAAGTTTCGTTAGGCTTTATGCGTGCGTCAAACCTGCACATGGTAACCACCTTATTTGTCCGATCTGCAACAGTGATGGTTGGCCATATTTGTCCCTTATGTGTGTTACAGGTAACTCGACGAATGTGAGAACAATGAAACAACGAGCCCCATCAAATGTTCCTCTTAGTTCAAAACAACCAAAACACCAATCACAACCAATCAGCTTCTCCCATATGGCCCCCAGCTCCAACACACACAAACATTGAAACACGCACAAATGGGCACAAGGATTGAACACTTCTGCCCAGCAAGGTGCCTTCGACGCCTTGTCAGAAATAACTGAACAGGAATGAATGAACTAGAACAGAGTTTGGTACAAGTAGGAAACCCTAACTTTGTGTACCCCCTAAGGTGTAACCCACTACAGCCTAGACAATATAAACATGCAATGTTTGACACACCCCCATAGGCGCAGTGGGAGACAGCTACAGGGTCACAAGACCAGTCAAAGCAAAGCAAGACAAGCTCAGGGTGGATCTCAAGGATTCCACACAAATTCCGAGCACAAGCAAGCGGTCACAAGACCAGTTCACATGCAGGTTTATAACAAAGCAAGAGATACAGTGATCACAACCTACCAAACGTAAACAAGTAGGCATATATATATAGTGATCACAGTACAAGCAAGGTCAAGAGGTAAGTAAGTGAGGCCCAGTAGGTACAAGGCCTAGCAGAGTGCAAAAGCGCTGATGGTCACAAGGCTGAAGCGCCTTGGTGAACACATCAGCAGTGTTGGCCTCCGTGGCCACGTAACGCAGACAAAGCTGACCACGCTGCTGCAGCTCTCGAGCCAGGAAGTACCGCAGAGCGATGTGCTTCGTTCTGTGCTCCAGTCTGTGCTCCTCACACAAGGCAATGGCAGCCTTGTTGTCGACGTACAGCACTGGAGGAGAACGAGGCCGCTCTCCGAGGTCGGTCAGCAGGTAGGTCAGCCAGCGTAGCTCCTGAGCGGCCATGGCTGTGGCGTAGATCTCAGCCTCACAACTGGAGCTGAGAACAGAAGAAGAGCGAGTAGAACGCCAAGAAACTGTGCCAGAGCCAAGGCTGAAGGTGTAACCCTGGGACGACCGCTGAGTAGCCTGGTCGTCTGCCCAAGAAGCGTCTGAGTGCCCTGTGAGAACAACCCGGTCTCGCCCTCCAAGCACAAGCCCCATGCCCGACGTACTGCACAAGTAGCGCAACACCCTCTTAGCAGCATCCATGTGCTCCTTCCGGTGACGGCCAGGAGCGACATAGCGTGCTAGGATGCTAAGAGGGTATGCAAGGTCAGGTCGAGTGCAGGTCATCAGGTACATGAGGCAGCCCACAAGCTCTGGATACGGGCCACTCGGCTCTACGGACTCATCCGAAGGCAGAGCTGAGAGCGAGTGACCGGTAGGCAGAGGAGTGGACTGAGGCGAGGAGTACGTGAAGCGGAAGCGCTGGAGAACCTGCTGCACCATGTGTGACTGAGTCAGGGTGATGGTGCGCCGTGCTCTGTCCCGGGTGATCCGCAAGCCAAGATAGCTCGTCAGCTCACCCAGGTCTGTGCACGTGTGTCTCCTCTGCAGCTCCGACTTCACGTGAGCGAGTGCCGCGGTGTCAGCAGTGGCAAAGACCAAGTCGTCGACGTACACGAGGATGTAGAACGGCGGGAGCGAGGTGTCGGTGCGTAGAAACAGCGACGGGTCAGCAGTAGAGGGAGCGAACCCAAGAGCCGCAAGTGTCGTCCTCAGTGTGTCGTGCCACTCACGTGGCGCCTGGCGGAGACCGTAGACCGGCCGCTGAAGCCTCCACTGGGTGCCAGGAGGAACTGACCCAGTGAAGCCAGGGGGGCGGCGCAGCCAGATCTCCTCGTGCAGGCTGCCCTGCAAGAAAGCAGTGCTGAAGTCAAGAGAGTGAAGCTCGTAGTCGCGGTGAGCGGCTATGTGCAGCAGCACCCGAAGAGTAGTCATCTTCGGGGTGGGGGAGAAGGTCTGAAAGAAGTCTACTCCCTCTCGCTGACTGAAGCCTCGAGCCACGTAGCGCGCCTTGAAAACAGGCGGAGAACCCGGCGGCCGCTTCACCCTGAAAATCCACATGCCACTGACAATGTTCGCCCCAGGAGGGGGAACCTCGTCTACGTAGGTGCCTGTGGACTTCCAGGAGGCCATCTCTGCGTCCATGGCTGTCTGCCACTGAGAGGAGTAGGGACCCGCCATCGCCTCAGCGTAAGAGCGTGGGGTCGGGATGTCTGGTGCATCCGGGTCTCCCTCAGGGGCAACTAGCAAGGACACGAGACGGGGCAAAGCAGCAGCAAGGCAGTGGAACTCCTCCTGTCTGTCCTCAAGGACGTCCGTGCCGAGGGCACACTCACCCCCGACGGACGGAGGACAGGCAGACGCAGACTCAGACCTAGCGACAAGGCTGGCAGCGTAGTCTAGGCGACAGCGAGCAGCAAAGTCAACCAACTCAGCGACCAGGGCAGACGCAGCAGAGGACTCAAAGGTCGGGTCAGTGACAACTGTAGCGAGGAGACGCGTAACAGTGGGACTGGCAGCACGACGGGAGTCAGACTCCGGGTCAGGAAGAGTAGGAAGAGAGGACGCAGGAGGAGACGGCAGTGGGACACGCTGCGGAGCAGTGGAGGGACGCAGAGTCATGTAGTGAGTGCCAGGGACAGGAGGAGGACGCTCACGTGGGACACGACGACCAGTGCGAGCAGGACGAACAGGCGACGCAGGACGAGACTCAGGCTCACGACGCTCTGTAAGACCTCCTGTGGGACCAGCGTAAGGGGAGGGAGCAGGGAGAGGCGAGACAGGCGGTAACTGTGACTGCGGCTGGACAGGCGGAGGACACGCTACGGAGGGAGGAGGACTAAGAGGAGGAGCCTGACCAAGAACCTGCTGAAGGAGCGGTACGAAGTACGGTCGCGGCCGCGCAGCGTCTCCAGAAACAGCAGGGACACCAGTGGCAGCCCCAACGCCCGAGTCCTCAGCACCAGCAGCAGCTCCAACGCCCGAGTCCTCAGCACCAGCAGCAGCACCACCGGTCGGGTCCTCAGCACCCGCAGCAGCTCCAACGCCCGGGTCCTCAGCACCAGCAGCAGGGCCACTGGTCAGGTCCTCAGCACCAGCAGCAGCGCCACCGGTCGGGTCCTCAACACCAGCAGTAGCTCCAACGCCCGGGTCCTCAGCACCAGCAGCAGCTCCAGCCCCCGGGTCCTCAGCACCAGCAGCAGCTCCAGCGTCCGGGTCCTCAGCACCAGCAACAGCACCACCGCTCGGGTCCGCAGCACCAGGAGCACCACTACGAAGACTGCAGCGCCGCGTGTACCACTCGCGGATCACCTGAATGGGGGGGAGCTCCTGGGTAGGAGGGGAAGTACCGGGACGAGCTCCAGAAGCACCTCTCCGGAGGCGGCAGTACTCGAGGTACCTCTCCTGCAGCTGCTGGGAGGAGAGGGCTCCTCCAGGTGGAGTACCCCCAGACTCAGCACCCCCAGACTCAGCACCCCCAGACTCAGCACCCCCAGACTCAGCACGTCCAGACTCAGCACGTCCAAACTCAGCACCACCAGGCTCCGCACCTCCAGGCTCAGCACCCCCAGGCTCCGCACCCTCAGACGCAGCACCCCCGGGCTCAGCACCCCCAGACGCAGGACGCGAGTCAACAGCTACCTCGACAGGCTCACCCGGGTCTACCTGGGACACACCTGAGGGAGCGGCACCCTGAGGGGGGAGGGGGTCTGGTACCTCAGCACCTGGAGCGAGGAAGAGAGGCGGGGGGGGGAGTGGGGCAGTGCGGTAGGGGAAGAGGCGGTAGAAGGGGACGGACTCGTCAAAAGTGACGTCCTGAGAGGCCAGAAC